GACCAAGTAGGTTTCATTCCTGGGATGCAAGTCTGGTTCAACATTCGTAAAACCATAAATGTAATTAAATATATCAACAGATGTCAAAACAAAAACCACATGATCATATCATTATATGCAGAAAAAGCTTTGGATAAAATCCAGCACCCCTTCTTGATAAAAACCCTTGAACATCTAGGCATACAGGGAACATACCTCAAAATAGTAAAAGCCATCTACGTGAAACCCACAGCCAGCATACTCCTAAATGGACAAAAATTGGAACCAATTCCCCTGAAAACTGGAAACAGACAAGGATGCGCAGTCTCACTCCTCCTGTTCAACATAGTATTGGAAGTCCTGGCTAGAGCAATCAGAGAAGAGGAGGCAATCAGAGGTATTCAAATGGAAAAAGAGGAAGTCGTTATCTCTCTGTGCAGATGATATTATTGTGTACCTTGAAAACCCAAGAGAATCTGTCAAAAGCCTCCTTATATTGATAAAGGCCTTTGGCAAAGTCTCAGGATACAAAATAAATGTACAAAAGACAATTGCATTTCTCTACACCAATAATAAACAAACAGAAATTCAAATAAAAAACACAATTCCATTCACAATAGCCACAAGAAAGATGAAATACCCTGGCATCTTCCTAACCAGAGACGTGAAAGACCTTTACAGTGAAAATTACAAAACACTGCTCAAAGAAATCAAAGCTGACACGAACAAGTGGAAAAATATCCCATGCTCATGGATCGGAAGAATCAACATTGTGAAGATGTCCATTTTACCTAAGGCAATCTACAAATTCAATGCAATACCCATTAATTTACCAACAATATTCTTCTCAGACCTAGAAAAAACAACACAGGAATTCATATGGAAACACAAACGTCCAAGAATAGCCAGAACAATCCTCAGCAAAAAAAAACAAAGCAGGTGGTATCACAATACCAGACTTCAAACTTTACTATAAAGCTACAATCATCAAAACAGGTTGGTATTGGTACAGGAACAGGCATATAGATCAATGGAACAGAATTGAGATTCCAGAAGCAAAACCTCAATTTCTCAACCAACTCATCTTCGACAAAGCCCCCACCACCTACCACTGGGGAGAGGAGAACCTATTCAGTAAATGGTGCTGGGAAAACTGGCTGACCACATGCAGAAGATTGAAACAGGACCCCTATCTATCCCCA